GTCAATGAAGAGTCCAATCGGAAACTCATTTTTGTCAAGGGCTGAATAAATTATATTAAGGAGACTAATAATTGCATCGTTGGTACTCTTTTGGGAGCGGAAGCCAAACTGACAGGGGCTAAGAATGTCAAATTTTACGAGGTAGGAGTAAAGCTGTTTGTAGATAAATTTTTCAAATATTTTTGATAGTATGGGTAGGTTTGATATTGGTCTATAATTGTTTATGTCTGCCGGATTACCTCCTTTATGAACTGGTGTTACTCTTGCTTTTTTAAGGATATCAGGGAAGGAATGATACTCAAGGGATTTGTTGAACAGCAGAATTATAGGTGGGGCAAGGGCGTGGGAGGCGCTCTAGTATATAATGGATGGTATTTCACTGATGTTCCCAGCTTTGGTTTTTAGTGAGTGTATGATGGACACAACATCTGTCGGGCTGACTGGTGAGAGGAGAAGAGAGTTTGGATAGCAGCCTGAGAGATATGTGTTGATATGTGTCTGAGTCTGTGGGATTTTACTGGCAAGGTTAGCACCAACCGATGAAAAGAAGCTATTAAATTCATTCGCCATTTCTAAATCAGATGACGGTGTAAGGCCATCCTTAGAGAGTGTTATCTGGTTGTGGGAGTGTTGTTTAGTTCCTAGGATATTAGAGATGGCTTTCCATGTTGCCTTTTGCTTCTTTGAATCTAGTCTCATAATATGAAAGTTTAGCTTTTCTTATGATACTGGTAAGCACTGATGAGTACCTCTTAACTACTTCCTTTGTAACTAGGCCAAACCTAAATTTCTTTTCATATTCGTGTTTTTTGTTGATTGATTTGATTATGGCACTTGTGAGCCACGGGTTATTTTTTCTTTTATCAGTTACTTGTTTAGTAAGGAGGGGACAGTGAGTGTTGTAGAGGCTTAGAGTTTTGGAGAGAAAGAGGTTAGTTAATGAGTTTATATCCTGTGTATTATTAAATTCGGATTCCCAGTTAATATTGTGAAGTGCATAATATTGCATAATATTGTGAGGAGGGGGAGCATCCGCTTCCCCTCCTCACTCCCCCCACCTTCAACTCAACTCGAATCTCAAGCTTTAGAATTCATTCAATCTATGGCTCCCTGTCTAAACTTCAAACCTCTCAAGAGTAACCCATGGCTGCAGAAACTGCACAACCTTGTGCTAATGCAATCTGAAGCTATTTCGGCCCTCCAAGCCACAGTCACCCGACAACAACAAACCATAGACCGCCTCCTTGAATCGTCGACGAACAACAACCAAGAAATTCTCAACTTACAAACTGTTGCAAATGATGCAATGGATCAAATACAAAAGATTCAAGCCTAGGAAACCCACTCAGCTCAAAGTGACCTCATTCAAAAGCTGGAAAAACAAATAAACCTACTTCAGATTCACCAGGCGGCTTCCGAAGATGACCTAGAGCAGCAACAACTTAATGACTCCCTGATAATTAGCTTTACTGATGTACCTGATGAACAACAAGGTGATAATTGTTGTAACATAGCCCACACCCTAATTAATTCAAAGATCAGAGTCAATGTTGATATCAAATCAGCTATCAGGATAGATAAAAACAGTTCCCGTAGCAGTAGGAGAATGCTCATCAAACTTGCAAATCCCTCTGCTAAGTTTGACCTCATACAATCAGCTGCTAAGCAAAAAACCAACCTCTATAGAAATGAGTGCCTTACAAAGCAGCGCGGATTCCTCCTCTTCAGGCTGCATACAATTCGCAAACAAAACCCTGGTCTTATCAAGCAGTGCTACACTAGGAATGAAACGATCATTGCAAAGAAGGAAAGTGCAGGAAAAAGATTTGAAATAAAGTGTGACCAACAACTACTGGCCTTCTTTACTGATTGTGGTATATCTGAAAACTTGACCCCGACCAATGCCAATACTTAAAATATCTCTTTGAGTGCCTTAGTCTAACCTAACTTAATCTAACTTTGTCCAAGGTGTTGTCTCTGCCTTACCATTTACCTAATGTTCTCTCATTCATATAATTTCCTCAGTAATCAGTCAAGTCTCCATGCACTTATGCAAGCATCTACCTCAGTATCATTGTAAAATCTTACTCTTAAATCTAATTTTACCCTATTCTGTTTTAAATTTTAAATTTAATTGTTCTGATTTATGTCATTTATTGAAATTAATTACTGATCTCATTTTGTTCCCTTAATTAAGTTCATACTAATTATAGGTTAAAGACCTAAGCTAAATATAATTAATTATCTAAGATTATTTTACTTTACAATCATCATTTGTCAATTTTGTATATATTCATATTGAGAGTTTACTGTTTTTTTTTTTTGTTCTCTCCACCAAACTTGTGTATCCTTCATGGCTATCTAGTGACCTTTATTCTACTTCTAATTGTTTCAGTTCTTTTGTTTACTTGCATTTATTATTGTGTTTTGCTATAATTATTTTCTAATTATAGCAGACTTTGTATTTATCTAAGCATTTACCTCAGTGTTATTTTTGTTTTTGCTTATAATTTTTAATTTAATTGTAATTTGATTTATACACCATTTATTGTAATTATTTACTTAGCTCATTTTTTTTCTTAAGTTCATACTAATTATAGGTTCACAACTAAGCTATTTTAAATAATTGATTTTTAAGATTATCTTTACATTACGATTATTATTTGTCTCTTTATTTTTTGCTATATATTATTCCTGTCAGTCTACTGTTTTTTTCTTCTCTCTTAACCTAACTACTGTATCCTTCCTGACTATCTATGGGAATCTTTGCTCTACTTCTAATTATTTCTAAAGCTCCCTGCTTTATTTGTGTTAGTTTTGGTTAGGTTAAGATAGGTTAGGTTACGTTAGGTATGGTTGGTTAGGTTCGGTCATATATCTACGTTAGTTTTAACCTAAATTTTAAAAAAACTAATTCATACACATTAAAATGGATAACTTTATCATTTCGTAAAAAAAAATGTGAAAAATATATAAAAATCCGGAAAACTTGGCTTTTTCTGCAAATCTGGCCTTGCATATTAGGCCGAGTACTGTGTTCTGGCTAGTAGGTACGACATATATATATATAGACATGTTGTACCTAATAGTTAGAACGTTGTTCTTGGCCTACTATGCAAGGCCCGATTTGCCTAATAAGCCAAGTTTTCCTGAATTTCTATATTTTTCAATTTTTTTCTGAAATGAAAGGATAAAGCTACCCATTTCATTATGTATGAGTTAATTTTGTTAAATTTGAGTTACAACTAACGTAGATATATGACCGAACCTAACCTACCCTACTTAACCTAACCTAACCTAACCTATCTTAACCTAACCTAAACTAACTTAGCTAAATCAATAATTTATTTTCTTAATATCAATATAATAATTATATTTAAAATAAACCAATTGGAAACAATTTATTGAAAATAAAGAAAATCACTCGGCCTAATTAGTGAATTAATATATTTTCTCTAATTTTTTCTTATGAAATGATAAAGCTACCCATTTCATTATGTATGAGGTAAATTTTTTTTTATTGGAGTTAAAATTAACGTAGATATATGACCGAACCTAACCAACCCTACCTAACCTAACCTAACCTATCTTTATAAGTTAGGTTAGGTTAGGTAGCCAAAAAAGTTAGGTTAGGTTAGGTTAGGTAAGTTAGGTAGTCGAAAAAACATTAATTCATGAAAACTTGGCTTATTAGGCAAATCGGGCCTTGCATAGTGGGCTGAGAAGTGCGTTCTGGCTACTAGGTACGACATATATATATATATATATATATATATATATATATATATATATATATATATATATATATATATATATATATATATATATATATATGTATATATATTTGTATATATATATATATATATATATATATATATATATATATATATATATATATATATATATATATATATATATATATATATATATATGTTTCATAGAATATGACCACATATTCTGTATTCATTATTTTCTGGTTTAGGGCTTCTATCCCTCTGACTATTTTCTTAGCATCAGGGCTTAATTGAAATAGGAGTTCTCCAAAACTCATTTTCGTACTTTTAAGGTGAAGAAAAGAAGTGATTTACTATAGAGTGTATTACACTTATTTATATAATTTGCACAACGTTTCGAACCTCCATGGTTCATTCTCAAGTGAACAGATCTTACAATACTAGTTGATTTTATACCCGCACTGGGTCAGGTGATAATACAATAAAGGTGAAAACATGGGGGGATACATAAGGGATAAATGTGAGGTGAAACATAGAGGCTGCAGAAGGCTTATTGGCCCATACGAGGCAGCTCCTATCTTGTTTAGATATGAGCTGCCTCGTATGGGCCAGAATTTGATGAAAAACTGTACCCAAATGGATCCATGAGTGTCGTTGCGGGCCTGAAATAATCAAGACACTTGCATAAAGGCACAAGTTATATGTAATCAAAGAACTCTTCTCTGTGAAGGATTCGAACCGTATATATCAGGCTCGAGTTCTCTTCAGTAGTGACTGATTTGATGAAAATGAACAAGTGATCTCTTGTCTTGACTGGTGTTGTTAGGGGGTTGGGAATAATCCTCCTGGCTTCCAACCCTTTTTACAATCTGTCATGTTCAAGTGGTTACTGTACGGGTTATGTTAGTGTGTGATGCACCTGGATTTCTAACGTTCAAATCCTTCACAGAGAAGAGTTCTTTGGTTACATATAACTTATGCATTTAGGCAAATGTGTGGTTATTTCAGTCTCGCGTATCTCCGGTAGAGATTGATTTGATGAAAACGAACAGGTGATCTCTTGCCTTGACTAGTGTTGTTGGGGGTTGGGGATAAGCCTCCCAGCTTCCAACCCTTTTAACAATCTATCATGGTCAAGCGGTTACAGTAGTGATATGTATGATTAATGATTCTAACACTAGTCTTTTCAATATTTCTTATGTTTTCTTCTCGCTCCTCTTTTGAGTTGGTGTGACAGAACTTTCTTATTACTCCATGTGTTGTTAGCTTCCCCCTGCGGCCGACTCTGAAACTGGCGGCGGAGGTAAACCCACTGAACAGTTTGGTTATGGATGGGACCCGTGAAGGAGCCGAAACCCGTGAGCAAGGGACGGTACAGTTCGCAGGACCGGCGGCCCTCTTAGTGTCGTACCTCGCCACGGCTCTCAACTTCTCGTAAGTCACACACGACTATCATTAAAGACCACAGGTAATACCTCTAATTCATTTGTGCTCATAGCTACCTTCATCAGATTGTTTTGACGGAGAGGATAATTTCTGGAATGATATGTTAAATTTTAGTACTTTTTGTCTCGTTATAAACACCAAACAGATGTAATGCCTCATTCACTATATAATGGTCATCGCAAATAATATTTTGAGGTTTCATTTTGATTTCATATGAATATATCTTTATAGAATGTTCTGTGGGATATATAATACTACCTAATATTCGGTTTTATGAAATGCTTCTGATCTGTGGAATGTAGTATTACAGCGACAAATGTGTAGTACATCGCACAGCACACACAGGATTTTATCAACTTAAGTATTTGTGTCATTTTGATAACATTAACAATTTGAAAACATTATACATGTTGGACCTAAGTGCACTAAGAATAACACATCTATAAGAATAACATATACATAAGAGTAACATGTCTATAAGAGTAACACATCTATAAGAATAACACGTTTATAAAATCTGTCGCCACGAAGCACTACAAGAGCATTACGCAGAATAAAACAACACGTTGAGGCCCCACTTGATAAATTACATAATAACATAAAGAACAGTACACTGCCGAAGGTCAGTTGCAGTATATAAGGAAACTCCTGTTAAATTCACACAAACCAACTCGTATAAATTAACTTTCGACTGAAACAATCCAGCAACCAGTTATGTTGTCATCCAACCCGCTCCATTATTTAACAAACTTGCTTTTCAAAGTTCATTTCGAAATGTAAATTTAATGAATTATTATGCCTTGTTTTATATTCTATTTGGAATGAAATAAAATATAATGGAAAGTGTAATGGAAAATAAAATATAATACAATATTTCTATTTCCTTTGCTATGTTACATTCACCTGGGCTCTAGGGGACCCAAACCGCGCACCCCCCGCCTGTGAGGTCCGAGCTCTATCGGGCAATTGAGTAGTCATAAAAAGGAAAGTGACCAGAAGCAGCATCCTGCTGCCAAACTGGAATTTTATTTCCTGTGCTATAGCCTTGCATCCATTCATTTGTTCAATCATCATCACACCAAATGTTCATCTCTCCTAAAGAGTGCTAATTAAGCTTTGTTAGTCTCTCGTCTAATGCGGGGCTCCTAATTCTTGGAGCTTTTCCATTCTTCTCTGGACACGTTCAAGATTTTATATGCCCAAAAAATGGACTGAATAATATAAATTACTGCATAATCTATATTACAGTCACTTCTGCATTTGAATCCCATTATCCATTTTATTTTAGGCAGATCTATAATGGAATGACACTTTATTACACACAGAAATCACAATAACGTGATGCATCAAATGAACAAATCCACAAGGGTTTGTTCATGACACTTTATGTTATGATCTATAGTTATCACGATTATTAGATGTTTCTCGCCTAATTTGGCAAGTTCAACGTTCCTCGTTACTTCTTATAATTTCGCACGGTTTCAAATTTTAAATTTGCATTAAAATGTGTCTACCAATGATTTATCCATTCATAAAATCTACGCAAGTCACCTGTAGCAATCTTGAGTCCTCAGCTGCAATAGTGTCTGAACCTATTTCGATGTCATTGGCAAATTTGTTAATATTGATGTTCAGCATTTTGTCTAATTCTTAAAATGTTTAGGAAATCAACAGAGTTCACAGGACAGACACCCTTAACATTACATTTACAACAGGTTCTGGACAGGATCAGGTTCTACTTATTTTAACACTCTGTTGCCCTCGAAATAACCATGTAGTAATTCAGCATTAAATATTCACCTCAATACCATGTGTCACCATCACCTTCGTGGGGTGCAGAATCAAATGCCACACAGCAGTAAAATAATAAAATGCCATATTTCTTTGAATTTGATTGCTGAGTTTATGACATGAGCGACCTATGGTAAATCCATGTTGTCAATCATGTATTATTTAATATTTTCAAATATATATAAAGAAACGCAATTTGCGATTATGTTTTCAAGTAGTTCCCAAATTTTAAATTGTAAAAATATTGGCCGATAGTTTCAAGCGAGTTACTTATCCACTTAAAAATCCCCATTGAGCATCCATAACCCTTACTGACTTCTTCGGTCTTCTGGAATATAAATTTTTTGGGTAAAATAAAGAAGGGAGTAACACCTCTGGCTGGAAGAATGGGACCCCTAGCCTCGGAGGAAACCACACATAACGCATTATAGGGAATGTTTGGGTCCCCTCCAACACTGTTTCTGTGTGCTTTACTCCTACCAGCCACATCCTTTTCAGTTTTTTTTTTTTTTTTGCTTTATTATGTATTTGAAGGTTACAAGACAAGGTTACATTGGCTGATACAAAAAACGCCTAAAGGTTATGGATCTCATGAAACTCCTCCGCTTCTGGACAGGAACCAAGGATGCAGCAAGCATTCCCCCTCTGGATCGCCACACTGAGGCGCTGAAACAAAAAACTGGAAGCCCTTGGGTCTCTGGTGACATCAATGAGCTTGGAGCCCAATTCCTTGAGAAATTCCAAGGCACTCTTACCCCAGGGGCCATGCATCTCAAGCACTATGGGAACAAAGGTGTATTGACCTTCCAGTCGCCAGTACTTGAGTGATTTTGCTGTTTCCCTGTGGTTGGCCGCCCCACCTGCTTGATCAGCACCGAAGTGAATGTATGTATGTGTCAGCCAGGGAGGATTCACATGTGTAGTCCCACACCAAGAGTTTTCTCCTTTTCCAAGGGTATATTTTGATACCATCAGGGCAAAGTGCGAGGTCATTCGGGTGTTGGGCACCTAGGATGCGAGATTCTCTGTCTGCTGGGCACCTAGCTGAGACGAGGCTTCTCCTGATGACTTCATTAAACTCGTTGTGTCCTGCATGCCAGCCCTTTGTGCTTTCACAATGCATCCCATGCAGTCGATATTGGTCTACTTCCACCCTGTTGCAAATACACTTTTATTCAGTGTGAATTGGGGCATCAAGGCGAAGGGCCATTGCTACATGAAAGGATTCTGGATCTAGGCGCGTTTCCATTGCCAACATGGGTACTGCCAGGAGGAAGTCTCCTGCGTGGGGGGCACGCACTGCTCTGTGGCGGGCTACAGCAAATCTTATTGGTGATAAATATAATGATTTTATAATTGGTCATAGGATTAGATTATTGCATAATGAACTGGTGCACGAACCACACTAGTTCCTGGACATATATGAAGTTCCAGTAATAACCCCCCAATGTAGGTGTTTGAGGCTTTGATTCAGTTAAATTATACAGCCCATTAATTTTATAAGTGATCATATTCTCTAGTATTTTATCCATAGTTACTGGTTCATCTAGGAATTTTCTAATGATCATATTTTATTAGTTTCTCTCTTTACTATAAAAGCGGGTGGTCCTTCGTAATAGAATTTCATTACATTAACATTTAAATAAATAGAGTCAAGCCCCAAATGTCCCACACAGCCCTCCCTGCGAGAAGACTTCAATGAATAGGTGGGTTAATTCAACACTAACCCCCAATCAAGTTTACGTTAACACTTGTCTCTCAAGACACTAACCACAATTGTAAAAGTACACTATTTGACTTCAATGACTAATAACGTTAATTGACTGACAATAGCAGTCAGCAATTACGTTAACATGTGTGTGTCTCATAGACAATCAACTGACAAGGATAACTCGCAAGCCCTTAATTACTCTACACTTGATCAAGCATTCAGTGAGTAATTCCCAGCTAATTACTGCCACACTGACAGCCTATTAATCCAAACGAGTAACGTTCGACTCTCCTGAGAGGACAATCAACAGTTGTCCCCACGGTCTATGACAAAACTGGGTTAATGAGGGCAAATTACTCTAACTATGAGAAATTAAGTATCTGCCCTACGGACAGATCATTAATCCTCCCAGTATACGTTATTCTACACCCTACATAAGCGGGTATCATAACAATCACCCACTACATAAGTAGAATCATAAGTAGTAGTATAGGTTTTATTTTATAAAAAAATTATACAAGGTATAGCAGAATACAAAATACATAAACAGAAGACATATACAGGTACAGAATAACACAGAACATCACCAGAACCTAGAAACGCCAGGTACTGAGGCAAACTACAAAACAAACATGAAAAGTGGACATACAGAAATTACATGGACATGGAAAAGGCCTCTGAAACCACTGACAGAGGTAAAAATACATAACTATAGGAAACAATAAATAATAAAAACAGAAAAACAGCGAAATACATAAACAGTGAAATACAAACAGAAAAACAAACAGAAATGTAGTACAAATAATAAAGCAATACACGAGGCCAAGAAAAGAATCACACGCACATAAGTAACATACACAACCACACCGTCCGCCACCCCAATTCAAAACATGGGGTGCGCACAATGACACGCAAGAAATAACACCAAACACCCACAACTGTACACAACCACACCACAAACACGTATAAAAGGCAAGCACAACAAAACAGGCCATGCAAGGGCAAGAACAACACCCACACACACAAACAAGGACACCCACCTGTGCACGCAGGCACTGGGGAATCATCACGTACAACACAAACAGAAACCAAACACACCAGTCACTCATACTTCTCTTGGGTACTCCCGAGCCAGAAACCGTAGGCAATAAGCTTTCCAAAGATATTGGCTAACGTCAGGAATCGGACGTCTATGAGCCGCAATAGACCGAGGTATCAAATTCGGCACATCCGAGACAAAACACTGCGCCCGTGGAACCCAGATGGTAGACGGGCACCAGGGAACAGGACGCACCAGGTCATCACAGTCATATTCCACAGTTGCCTCAGGGCCGACCACCACCTCGACGGACGAGAGGACGAAAGGGAAGGGTTTTCCCCTAGGAAGCTTATCACAGGGTCGCACACCGGACTGCACGGCAGGCCGCACACCGGCCCGACCACTAGGGCGCACACCCCGGTCGATGCCAGACACCGCACCGAGTCC